ATTATAGAATTTATCTCTAAAAGTCACACAATATAGTTCAAAGAGTCTAAAAAGTTGAAAAGTTAAATAGAAACCATTAAGAAAAAAAACCCCATTCCAGCCAAAAGATGAATCATGACTTTTATGCATATTACATGACTTTTCATTAGCAGCATTAAAAATAACTACTGTAGACCATTTGCTTATTAGACCCTTTTATACTATGAAGTCTGAAATGCCACTTTTTTTTTACTTTGGGATTAAAATTAAGGATTCTTTAAATAGTAAGTAAAAGAGTTACTAAAACAGATAATCATCAATGATGAATGATTATGAGCCCCAGGGACCTGACATCAGAGCCTTTCAACTTGATCTACTGAGCACTTACTGCATCCTTAATATAAAGATGTAAGGCAGAATGGAAAACTGGAAAGAAAACAGGCTCCTAGGCCTTAAATATTTTAATATTAGCACTGCTACACAGCCGTGCAACCTTGAGCCAACTACTTAACCTCTTTGAGCCTCAGTTTTCTTATCTGTAAAGTGGAGATACCACCTCCTACTTCACAGGGCTATAGAAGCAAAAAAGGAGATCTCATGTAGTGCATCTAACTATGGCCTGCACAAAGAAAACATTTAACGAATGGTAGCTTATCACCTCAATCGTCCTCATCACTGCCATCATCATGCTTAAAGCTCCAAGTACAGTGCATAACCTTCTAGTGTAATTAGATGCATACATAAATAACTATCATACAAGGTATCAGGACTGAGTGCCAAGAGATAGTATATAGAAGGGCACTCAAGGTCCTTCTTGATATGGCTCTTGCTGACATATCCTTACTTCTGGCCTCTTTGCACCAAACTATAGCTATAATGAACTACTGAAATTCCCTGAATGCACTGTGTTTGTCATTTGTCTATTCTTTTGGACATACAGTAAATTCTTGTTATTCACAATAGTTATGCTCTGGAAAGTTGCAGCAAACACTGAATTAGTGATTACTGAACCACTGCTCCTAAGGGAAATACAGGGTTAGGTTCTTGAGAGCTGTCTGGTCACATTTCTGTCAACTGGTCAATACAATATATAACCTCGTTTTATAGCTGTTTCTGTTTAAAGATGTCTTACTAAATATATATTGCTGAACTCATGCCTGAAGCTTATCTAACACATGTATTTTCTCTATAAGACACAACACAGCCTTGGGACGCCTGGGTGGCTCAGTTGGTGGCTCTGCCTTCGGCTCTGGTCATGATCCCAGGGTCCTGGGATCGAGTCCTGCATGGGCTCCCTGCTCAGCAGAGTCTGCTTCCTACTGCTTGTGTGCGCTCACGTGCTCCCTCTCTCCAACCAAAAAAAAAAAAAAAGACACATCACAGCCTTCTCGCATTTAGGAGTACTAGACAGTACTTCAGCACTATACTAGGGGGACATTACAAGCAGTGCAATCACCAAAAAGCCCCCAGGAAGTATGAAAACAGTAATAAATATCGTTCAAAAAGGAAAGCTGTTTACAGTATGAGAGCTGAAACAAGGCAGTGTCACCTTGTTTGACATCAACTGGAAACACCTGTGTTGGGTGACTCAACTATTCTGCCACTGTATACCAGTTGGTGAAGGACTACAAAAGCACCACAAGTATAGATTTTGGGGTTACAAACAAATTTTAGCAAGTAGGCGAATTCACAAATACGGAATCTGCAAATGAGGATCAACTCTACTAATGCTTTACCTAGGACGCCCTTCTCTTTCTTCAGAATTCACCTGGCCAACTCTTATGTGCCCTTCAGGACTCAGCTTAAGATGTGAGAAGACTTGCCTGGCCCCAGCCATTCTGGTTAGATAAATCCTTAAAAATGCCCCCCTAGCTTCTGGACCTGCTTCTTATTGCTCATCAGGCTGTTTTACAATTGTTTATTTTTCTGTCTCCTCCGTTTGGCTATAAGAGCCTTGGCAGCAGGAATCATCATTTTTGGTTTTGAATCCAAGGCCTAATTCTATAAAAGCAGTTCATTAAACATTTGTTGAATTAACAGTCTTCAAAGAAGGGGGAGGACACTCCCTATACTGGTTGAGAATGGCTATGGGTATGAAATCAGAGGTTTCATGAATAAAACAGCAAAGTGAGTGAATTTTTAACTATTTAGTTTAAAGGCTTTCAATGCAAAATTTGATTTTAACTTATTTCAAACTAATGGCTTTTTTTTTCCCCCAGGTGGCATTAACTTCAACTCACATTGTGATAAGGACAGTTCTTGTTAAGTGATATGATCCATTTTCTTATTAAGCCACTTTGAACTGCTTTTTAAAAAATAATTTGCCAAAAAGAGCATCTTTTTTTTTTTTTTTTTACAAGAGAACAAATCTACACCTTTATTTACTTTTCATTAAATTTAAATCCTTGAGGGGTACAGCATCACACGGATTCTGTGGCCAATGGCTTTAGCAGGAAGGTTGCTTCGGAATTTGGCACGAACCATGCCACTGTTTCCATGAGCACGAGTTACTTTTCCCCAGATTACTCTGGTTTTGTTTGGTTTGCCACCAGGAGTCACTGTGTTGTTCTTTGCTTTGTACACATAAGCACATCTCTTGCCTAGATAGAATTCCGTTTCATCTCGAGCATAAACACCTTCGATTTTAAGAAGAGCTGTGTGCTCCCTCTGGTTCCGGAGACCCCGCTTATAGCCAGCAAAAATGGCCTTGGACCACAGCCTTCCAGACATTATTTGGCGTTATAGGAGTCCTGTTCCCAGCAGGCCGCACTTATTTGCACCCAAAGTTCAGCAACAAAAGCTCCCGCCAATAAGAGCATCTTAACTGACAGTTACCCTTAGACATAAAAACATAGAAATTAAATACCGATTTTATTTTTATAGCTATTCTGATTTAGGACAAATGCCTTTTACTTGAACAGACCGTCAGATATGCATAACATTAATTTTAGAAAATCACTCAGAGACCGATGAGCTCCCCTTGGACCAACATAAAGCTCACTTCACTACCACCATCCTCCTGCACAGTCACTCCCCTCATCTCTGAAGATGTACGGAGACTAAAATGGAAAGGGTTTCAATTCAGTCTCTCCCTGTTTTATATATGAAGCCCTGGGACTGGAGTAAACTTTTCCTGCATACCTGCCTTCCCAGGTCCTTCTTGCATTAAAAATAAGAGCCAAGCCAAGAACAAAATGATTCTTTTGTTGCTAGATTCCTGGTTAAAGAGGATTCAAAAGCCAAAATATGTAGCAAAGATTTGAAAACCTGTATGTCCTCTCATACCGAGTGTACCAATTTCCCCTTTTGATTCTTCCCACAATAATGCTGATTTACATGAATGAGATGAGAAAGAGCTGACATGGACTCTTCATCTTGAAAGATCTCATCCCTACCTCAGAAGAGCAATCTCCATGATGGACTCTCTCAATGGAATCCATGGTTTGCCCCAGTGAGAGATGCTAATGAACTACTTCTCAGTGCTTCACTGTAGTCTATTTTCACTTGATATAATCTCTGACCAAACTGCTAATTTGCTGTCAATAAAAGCAAGGCCACAATTTATCCTATTCTTTTTACAAAAGGGAGTGAGTACTGGCTTTTCCCTAATTACTGAGAGTCCAAAGATAAATGATAACGAGCAAATACTGGGTGCTATAACCCATCAGTTATTTCATCAGTAATTTTAAAAAGTGCAATAGAACTGAATAGAAAATATCATAAAGCATACTAAGGGTAAAATATGGTTTTCAGAAACTTTTATTTTAGTTACACATATATGTACGTAGGGATGTGTTTAGTGGGTAATGACATAAAACATTTCTTTTTCTGGGTTTCGGGCAAAATCTGAAAGCCACTGTTGCAGCCCCTGATCCCTGATCTTAAGTGCTGACCTGCCCCGCCCCCCACTGCTGCTGAGAGCTGATGGTAGCTTCGGAAATGTGCGTAAGCACTTTTATTCGAGCACAGTGCTCCCTGCCAATGGTTGATTCTGAACTTTGGGACTCCATTCTGAAGAAGCGAGTATCTGCTTAGCCCCAACGAAAATGGTATATCAATTTTTAAAGACTGATTGATTTGCCAGAGAGAGAGTGAGAGAACACAAGCAGGGGGAGCGGCAGAGGGAGAGGGAGAAGCAGGCCCCCCACTGAGCATGGAGCCCAATGCCAATGTAGGGCTCGATCCCAGGACCCTGGGATCATGACCTGAGCCAAAGGCAGAAGCTTAACTGAGCCACCCAGGTGCCCCAAGGTATATCTATTTTTAAACACTTTGCGGTGGAGCATTCATTTGGTACTTGAGTCTTCTTGCCAGTGTACATCTTTTCTAACTAAACCGCAAAAACTGAGGACAGAGGCTACAGTACCTAGTGACAACTCTAGCACCTTATACACAGGAGATGCTCAATTAACATCCTGTGCATTAGCCCTTTCCCTCTGGCAGAATCCCTCTTTTGGAATCAATGCCTACTGAGATCTGGCCAACTTAGGGGCTGGAAAAGTTTTTGCTCTAGGCTTGCTTGCCTGGCCAAGGTATTTAACCAACTCTGCTACCTCCTCCTGTGCTAGTCTAGAATAACTATCATTAGCTACAGATTTGTTTTACTACAGTGTATAGCACTACACCCAAGGCTGCATCTGTAAGTTTGTGAACTCTATTAAACAAAGTAAGCTCTCATTATCTAATATAAGTAGACTACCCATTTTTCTTTGAGGTTAGAATGACACTCTTTATTTGATACTTACACTGCTCCTTAGGAAAAACTGACTCAAGAATTTCCAACTCCCTCCAAATTACTCTACTTGATAAAACTGTTCTTTGCAGAAAGGGCTAACATCTTATATATTTGGTAAATGCATACTATTATCCATTTTACCTGACCTTAATGTGCTGGGATCACAGTATGCAAAACATCTCAAAAAGTTAAACAATCAGAAGTGAGTGCTCTATACCTATAAATTCATACTAAACAAAACTAAACATTCACAGCTTACACAGAAATAAAATCACACATTTGCTACCTGCTTATTCATTTCTGTGATGTTTATCCAGACTTTGTTCAAGCCCAGCTCCCCAGATTCAATCTTCTCGAGTTGTTTTTGTTCGCTGAGTAGTTCTTCATTAAGTTTGGGAATTTCTTGGAATGAACTTTTCTGATTAGATTCCACTAAAAGCAAAAATAAGAATTATAATAAATAACCACATACTACTCCCTTGACTCCAAGATGAAAAAATGATCTTACAGTAGGAAGGAAGACAGGTTAATAGAAGTCAATCCTGGTAGGATGACTGAATTCCTATCTACCAGCTACACTGTTTTTTAAAATTTATGTAAATTTTAATACTAAAGCACCATTTTAACTGGGGCTACTTCACTACTGGGGGTACAACTTTTAAAAGTCAGATGGCTAGGGCGCCTGGGTGGCTCAGTTGGTTAAGCGACTGCCTTCAGCTCAGGTCATGATCCTGGAGTCCCGGGATCGAGTCCCGCATCGGGCTCCCTGCTCAGCGGGGAGTCTGCTTCTCCCTCTGACCCTCCCTCCTCTCATGTGCTCTCTCATTCTCTCTCTCAAATAAATAAATAAAATTTTTAAAAAAAAAAAAAGTCAGATGGCTAAAAATGACAACAAAGTATCAGCAGAAAGAGTTGCACTCTGTAATTTACTGTGATCCTGAGTAAATTACTCAAATTCTTTGAGCTCAGTTTCCTCATCTGTATGACAGAGATAAAATATACTTTACAGGATTTTTAGAATTAAGTGAAAGAATGGTTGTAAAGTGCTGAGCAGGCATACAACAAGTGATAAGTAAATACTAATTATTAACCAGAGCAATTAAGGAGCTTTGTGATTAGTCAATGAAGATTTATAAACCTTACTCCATTAATGCTCAAGGTGATGTCAAAAGTTATATCCCTAAATGATTAAATCTAACTTTTTTTCTCTCTCAAACTGGTAAAATGCAAGATGGGTTCTTAACCACCTTTCAAGTGCTATTATGAGGATTATGATTTTAAATTTTTTTCATAAACAGCAAACAGTGTTTTCTTAGATCTTAAATCAACCCAAAAGCTCAAAGTGAAATAGAAGATAAAGGAACATGTTAGGTGAAGTGTAGGCTGATATTTGGCTTTCCTTTGGAAAACAGTATCTCCTGACTGGTTTAGAGATTTGCCAGCCTGAAGGCAGAGGCCTGAAAGAGTGCTTTCTCTTCTGTCTTTAAAAAGTATTTTTCCTTTTTATGAAAAATAAAATACTGATCATGGCTGGTCCTCCAGAATAAAACCCACATCATTTTTTTTAAAGCTACAGATTGCCCGATTAGTTGTTATATACTTTAAAACCAAAAAAACTGGCATACAGGACAGATATAAAACAATTTACTAAAATTTAAGTGCCATGATTTTTTTTGTTCCTCTCTGTGGGGTCAGCATTTGGAATACACCTGGCACATTTCAGGCACTCAGTAAGTATCACTGACTGCATAAATCTGGCCTTTGCTTACCTCTCAACCACATTTCTCATCACTTTACCTTCCTCTTCAATCTGTTTTCTGGTAAAGTGGATTTTCCAGACACACCAACCTTTTTAGGTCTCAGTGACTCTATACACACTATTCTTTCTGCCTAGATGCCCTTGGCTTGCCCCTTCTCCATTTCTGTTACCTTAGCCTAGTTAGTTCCTTTTAAGGTTCACCACAAATAGCTGGGCTCCCAGGTTGGACGCCCACCACCACTTCACCATTCCAAACTCTATCTAGCACTTAATACACCGTGCTACAACTATTTACTCATGTGTCTCCTTTACCAGACTAAGAGAGAGAAAGAGTTGCTTAAGGACAAGGACCAGGACTTATTTGTCATGTATTTCCAGGGCCCAGCACAGTGCCAGGTATATAGAAGCACTCCAATGCCTTTCTGGGACATAATTGTAGGGTATGAAATGGAGTTAATGTTGTCCTATTAAGTTAAACAAAGAAAATTCAATCCAACAAACTCAACAACAAAAAATCCCCGCAAAACTCAGGGGCGGGGTGGTGGAGGTATCTCTGCCAGAAATAAGCCCACTCTCTCAAAATTCAGATTTTTTTTTAAGATTTTATTTATTTATTTGACAGAGAGAGACAAAGGGAGAGAGGGAACACAAGCAGGGGGAGTGGGAGAGGGAGAAGCAGGCTTCCCGCTGCGCAGGGAGCCCAATGCAGGGCTCGATCCCAGGACCCCGGGATCATGACCTGGGCAAAGGCAGATGCTTAACGACTGAGCCACCCAGGTACGCCCAGAATTATTTAAAAAAAAAAAAAAAGATATTTTTATTAATTTTTCAAAAATATGCACAAAAGGATTTCTTTATAAATGAAATCCCTCAGTGCTTTTAATGCAACATTTGGTTTACACTGGTTTCAGGAATTTTGTCAGTATAAATTAATACTTTAAGAGTAAGAAAAGAAAGGGGCGCCTGGGTGGCTCAGTTGGTTAAGCGTCTGCCTTCGGCTGAGGTCATGATCCCAGGGTCCTGGGATCGAGCCCCGCGTCGGGCTCCCTGCTCAGCAGGGAGTCTGCTTCTCCCTCTGATCTTCCTCCCTCTCATGCTCTCTCTCTACCATTCTCTCTCA